GTAGCTCCTGCACAGCCTATTAATCATCCTGTGTGTTAAAGGAGAAGACATTATCTGTTATTTGTGGTTTTATTTTATTTTAGACTTAATAAATGGGGAAAAAAAATTGCATCTCTTTTACTCACTGGTGTTGAGAAGCTATTGTAGTATCACTTTGATCTTGCTTACCTTCAGATGGCATACTTCATGCTTTGAGATGGTGGCTTAATAAACAAATCCTGTGCGTGTCACCAGACTTTTCCCTGTTACAAACATGTTAGCTTGGTGACTCCAGTTAAATAACGCTTGAATTCACATATTCTGAACTTTGGATTTTTAATAAGTTGCTGGTGGTATTTTAGCTTGCTATGGTCTCACAGAATTAGTTGATGAGGTTTTATTGGCTAGATTTTATCCTTGTATATCTTCTTACTATGTTTGTATCATGAAAAGACTTGAGTAATTGCCACCCAGTGTTTTATTTTCCTCACCTTCATCTTTTGCCTCATAAATTAATTTCCTTAGTTACTTCAAAAGTTGTTATTCAGTGTTTGTAATAGAAAAATTAAAACACAGGAGGAAGTGGAATAAAGTTAGCTTTTTTGAAGAAGAGACATCTGAGAATGCAAAAAAAAATTATCATTTGGACATTGATTGTTAGATTTTCTTTTTATTGCATCTCGAATTAATTGATGGAATTCACTATTTTATGAAAACCAAGGTAATCTGAGGTAATCTTCTGCAAGACTTCCCAGGCCTGAACTTCTGAGGGTACAGTACTTTGCTACTTTGCTACTGTTTCATACACTTCCACTTATCATGGGATTTGTGTCCAAACTCAAGATGTTTTAGAGCACAGATTCCAGAGCAGCCAACCCTAGATTCATCTGGAGGTTCTGTGCAGAGCAGAGCTTCTGATCTGAGTGACATAAATAGCTCCCTGAATCCAATAAGTTATAAGTACAATATTTTGTCTATTGTAAGGACGCAATTAACTATGCTCTGGCTAAAAGACTTATCCTGAAGAAAATACATTATTATTTAAGTTCACTCATTTCCTTTTACTAGTAGACTTCTTACAGCGCAGAACATAAAAGTGTTGAGAAAGAAATGAAACTGAAATTATTTAAATAAACTTAGGGATATCTTTTCCTCAAACCATGTTTTGTGGTTGCCATTAATATCCCTGCAGAGTTCCTGTAGTTAGAAGAAGCAGCATGTGAATCCAGGAATTTAAAAGAAAGAAATCTGCAGGAAGAAACTAGAGTTTTAAACAGCTTTTGCAAATTAGAAGGGTATATTTAACAGACATGTTAGCTTTGCCATTTCTGGAGAGGAAGCTTACCCACAGTGTTTAGGACTTACTGGAAGCTATGTCTGCAGAGCATGCAGCAGCAAAACACGAGGCTGTTTTGCCCAAATTGTGACTACATGTCTGACTGATCCAAAACCTAAGTGATCAGGCTAGGGACAGCTAATGCTCTACGTTGGGTAACTGACAGGAAGTGATAATTTTCTTTTTTAGCAGTCCTAGTCATTAAGAGTTTTATTCTAAAAGCAATAAAGTTCTTTCTCAAAAGCACTGAATTATGTATAAAAATAGCATGAATATTTGTGTGTCTCTCTGAATATATACATACACCAAAGTCCTTTTGTTTGTATATATATAAGTTCTCTTGAATAAATTATGACAGTGTTGTCTCTATTATCACAGAAGACCAAAAGAAAGGAAGAAATACTTTGTTAGAGCATCAGGTACAAGAGGGAGGTACACACAGGTGTGTTTAGTCCAGCTTTTCGATCCAGATTAAACTTCTGGTTCTGTCTGAATGCTAATCTGCGCACTTAGGCTACCAGAATGTGTTACTTGAAAGATGTTGTCACTTCAATTTCGTTATTTTCTCTTGCTGTGACTAGCTCTTAATGTTAAACATTTAGTATTTTTCCTATGATCAGCACTATTGCAAATATGCAGAGCAAAACTAAGTAAAAATATATAAAAGTTAAGCCGTAATAGGAAATTAGTTTTTACTCTCTTGTTGTTTTCTTTATACCGTAAGTTTTTGCTGAGGACTGATCTATAATAACACAAACCTTCCCTATAGTGGTCCTGTGCTCTAGCTTCAACTCAAAGGACGGCTATAAAAACTGTTCTGAAAAGCCGGTATTAGCTATGATACACTGTTTAGATTATTCCTGGAATGCACCTGTTACTGTGCTCCATAACAAATGGAGCTGTCAAGCATGGTGAGATTTTATTGTGTTTAGTCTTGTTAGCTGAACCGTTTTGGACTGACTTGTTTACTCCAAAAACACTTCAACTTGTATACTCCAACAACTTCCAAGATAAATGGGTTGCAGCTACATAAGTGAGTAAAAGCTAATGTGATTGTGTCTGTGCTAAAGCACTTAAGGGGCAAAAAATGTCATTTTGACATTTTTGTGTTATCAAACAGATGATGAAGTAAACCATATTAAAGAAAGATGACAGTAGTTAATATTTGCTTTGGGAAAAGCACACTCTTGATCTGGGAGACTTGGAATGACATGGTAGCTAGGAGAAGGACAACTCTGGTACTCAGGAATGCAAAGAATTGCTTCCAGTATGGCTATTCCACAAAAGTGCTGAAGCTGTTGCTGCATTTAGAGAAGAAAAAAATATTTCCTGTGAACTGAATCTGAAATATATGAGATGTCTACTTTATCTAAAAAGGACTGTTTCATTTGAGTCATATTGGTGCGAGTTCTGTGAAACATTTCCTTAATCAGCCTTTTGGAAAAATTGTCTCCGAGCATGTTTATATTCAAGTTGCTGAAGTCTGTAGTTGCATTTGAGGAGTTGGGTAATTTACTGCTTTCATGACAGCCTAGTTGCCGAGCAGATGGTTTATAGTGATTTATTGGTTAGAGTAGAGGAATTGGCTTGAGCAGGAGAACTACAAAATGGTCAATCTGTTTTCATAACCTCACTTCTGAAACAATGATAGATGGGCAGCATTGTTAAAATTGTGAATGGTGGGCAGAGCTGTTTTGCACAGTACCAGGTTAGCTGTGTTAAATCTTGTGATATTGGATCGAGAATAATTCAGAAGTCATTCTGAAGTCCCCGGGGGACTGGGGAAGGAAGCTGGGAATACATATGACAGCTACACAGGCAGACTGTTACTGGCAAAGTTTTAAATGTCTTTGCATTGGGATGTCCCTGACCAGTACCTAAGCACCCACCAGCTGCTCACTCACTCCTTCCCGTCTCCTCTTCCAGTGGGATTGGGGAAAAGAATTAGAAGAATGAAGGTGAGAAAAACTTAGATTGTAATAAAGACAGCTTCAAAAATGAAGGAAATAAATTCAATAAACAAGTGATGCAAAGTCAGTGACACACCATCTCCCACCAGTAGACCAAACCAGCCTCCAGGCAACAGCTGTATAGGAAATATGAAATGCACAGGTTTTATTGCTGGGCACAACATTGTATGGCAAGAAATACCTGTTTGATTTCTGGTCAGCTGTCCTATCTCTGTCCACTCCAAACATCTTTCTCAGTCTTAGTCTACTTGCTGAGGGTACAGAGTGAAAAAAAAAAACCGGCCTTGATTGCACTCACTGCTCAGCAAGAGCTGAAACACTGGAATGCTACCAGCATGGTTTGATCATAGGTATGGAGAACAAAAACATACCAGCTACTACAAGGAGTTCTCAGCTGGATCCACTACACTCTTCTGCAGTATCTAAGAGAATAAAAATACATTGAAATGATTTCTGAGCAACTGTTCCAGGACAGTGAAATTTGGAATACTAAGAAGATGGCATTTTAGTATGGAAGGGATCATGTTCAGATTGTACTCTTAGTAAAACAAGATACAGTCTTTGCTTCCTGAGAATACTGATTCTGTTCCAGTCCATTGTGTAGGAACAATACAGGTGCTGTTTTTCTGTAGAACAATTGTGGACTTGGAGAATCATATAAAATATCTATTGTCTGCTGCAATAGATCATGCTTGTTTTTTCTTTATTTTTCAGCTGAGTAAAGGCTTTCAGATTTTCCATATGGCACAGAAAACGGGGTCACAGGTTTTTTTTTCCAGTACTTATGATGTTTCAGATGAAGAGAAGGAAGCAATGAATATAAACCTTAGGTCTCACCTTTATTTGTCAGTTGAAGTGACTTAAAAAGTGGCTTATATAGTTTGCCTGTTAAGGAAAACATTAAGATGGTTAACTCAGATATATCTGTGAAATGCAAATGCAACACTGCAATATTCCATTGTGCATTACTATTAACGCTTCTGTGTGTTTGCATCAACCACAACTAAGTGAGAAAATAGGAGTTTGTTTTTAATGTCCACTTTCTATTTAGTTAGCTGTGGCAAATGCTTGCTCTGTGTCTATAATACGTGGTTAGCTCTGAATTTCATCAGCTTCATCTCGTATGGGTTTAAATAACTGAAAGTTACAGTTTTAGTAAGTTAAATATTTCAACTCTCAGACTTTTATATAGCAGATTTTCATGTCCACTCAGTAGTGTGGATAAGAGTTAAATGTCCATAATTTTTTCCAAATTAAGCACACTGAAAATTTCAGGTTGCCTAAGTAGCCATAGTAAGGATAACTTGGGTGAATACCTAGATATCTGTAGCTGTAAGTAGCTTAGAGTAGTGGTAAACAAAAATGGCTTTATGTCTTGCTTCTCTGATTAGTGAAAGGCTATCCCCAGGAGTTGTCATAGCAGCTGAGTTTCTCATCTAAACATCATTGTACCAGTGTGCATACAAGTCTTGTCACTGACTAGCAGTCCTGTTAATGGAGTGTTTAGAGAGGCTGACCAGGTTCCCACCTGACCTTCACTGAAAGTATTAGTGTAGTTATGCTTTCGGGGTTTTTATTTGTTTGCTTGTGGGTTTTTTTAGTTACTGAAAGAGATTTGTCCTAGGAAAAATCCTAGAAAGCAGGATTTTTTTTTTTGTGTGCTTTTTGGCTTGATTATGAAAAGAGTAATTTTTTAAATCACTTTTGCCTTGTAGGTTAATCTCCGAGCCACTGATGTGAAGCTTATGCGCCAGCTCCTCCTCATCAATGAAAGTATTGAATCAATCAAGTGGATGATTGAAGAGAAAGCCATTGCCAGCAGAGGCAGCAGTTTGAGTGGAAGCCTGTGCAGCTTGCTAGAAAGTCAGGAGACATCCCTCCATGGCAGCTGTAGCAGTTTACAAGACTGTAGTGATGGACTGGATGGAATATCAGTGGGGAGTTATTTAGACACCTTAGTGGATGATGTCCCTGGTCACCAAACTCCTTCAGATATGGACAAGTTCAGTGATTCTTCTGTCACAGAGGACTCACAGTCTCCACATAAGCATTCCAAAATTGATTCTGATGACTACTACTGTTTTGGTTAATAAGAACAAGTTCCAGTGGGACACAAATGCACTTGTACTTATCCTTTTTCTTTGCTGCTATTTTATTTAATGTGCAAAACCCCCAAAGTTCTCTTGGAAAGAGAATATAATATGATACTTCAATTCTATTGCATAACTTTTCTGTTGCTTCTAATGCATTTTCTCCTTGATGGGTTGGGCTTTTCTCCTCCTCCTCCACCTCCTCCTCCTCATATTTTCTTTATTTATTGTCACTTTTATTTTTTGTTTTAATTTTTTACAATGCTTTATTTACAAGTCAGTAAAAGTGGTGAAGGTAAAGCTTTATCTTTAAAATAAAACATCAGGGAATGAGAGTAACAATTTTGTATTTGTTATCAATAAAATATCTTCTGATAAATATATGTTGTCACAAATTTTCTTGACTACCAGGTCTGGCCTTTCCAAAGATACTGTTCTTACTGAGCCTTAAATCTGATATTGAAAATACCTCTACAAAACAACTTTCCTTTTCTAAGCAATGAAATTTGATTTTGTTAAGGTGTCTTCATTTGAAATAGAAAGTATTCTAAACTTTTCTGTGTGGGGTTTCTTTCATTTTTTTCAATGTTCCCTTGTCTCTTGTGTAATTTTGATGTGAAATTCGGATTCTAAATTGATGGGTTTTTTTAATCTGGCAATGTTACCCTGCTGTCTTTTTCTTTCCTGTTTTACAAGTAAGAGTTTGCCTTAACTTTTTTGTGCCTGCTGATGCAGTTGAGAGCTGCAGCTAATTAATTTTATTTGAAGTAGCTGAGAAGTAAAACAATAACTGTTGTATGTAGTGTCTGGCTCTTAGGCTGCCCTGGTCAGGAAACCCCCCAAGATTTTACCCTTCTGCAGTAGAAAAAAAAAAATTAGAATAGAAGAACTAAAATTGAACTAGACAGTCTAGCAGATGATAAATGTATATTTCCAGCACACAGACAGTGAAAGAGGTGTTGATACTTGCACATTATTTAAAAGTATTCTGTTTCACCAAGTTTGACAGTATTCCTATTACCAGTGAAAGCATGAAATACCCTCACTAAAGTAATCTTTACTAAATCTAAGGCAGACTCCCATCTAAAAACTATTTTACACGTTCCGAAAGAATACAAATACGTGCAGCAGTTGATACATGTGGGTTTGGTTCATTCTGAGATAGTCCAATAAGGTTCTGCTCGTCCAAGCCATGTTTCCAGGGATCCATCTTGTCCAGTCTTGAGCAACATCAAGTGTGAAGAAAAGGTAAAAAATCAAGAAATTGAAAGTGGTAGTTTGTGCTCTATGACCAATTCCATCACTTCTCAATGCCTGTGTCTCTCAGAATTAAAAAACAAGATGTATACTTTGGTCATCATGATTAATCAGATAGATAGTGAAAAAGTGTTTGGTTATTAAAAATGAACATTCTCAGTTCTGCTTCTGAGATCAACCTAGGTATTGCAGGTAGCTTGAAGAAAAATGAGTTAAGCCTTCAAATAGCAGTGCCCATGCTGATTTAAATTTTCTAGGGTTTATTTTAATTCCTACCCCAGCTTATGACTGCTGCTTAAAAAAACTTGAAGAAAAAAACTTGGCAAAAAATTCTTCTCAGAGTGACATTAAGTAGAATATTGACTGGGAATTCAAAATAGATTTTATTATTTTCAGTTATTTTAATCTAGGGAACAGAACTAACTCCATGATACAAAACTTTCTTGAAAGTGACTCTCTTGAAAGTTTTTCTACCCTTATTGCTTGGCATGGAAGTTGAATATCACGATGTATACTCTTTCTAAATCAAATGTGAATGTGCAATATGTAGTCTTTCCTTCTGCAAATGAGATTTTGGGCAGTAGGCCAACAAGTACATAAAATTTTTTCACTATGAAGAAAATTAAAGAATATTCTTAGCATGCCTTCTCAAATATCAGGCTTATACTGAAATTACTTGAAGGAAAATACAGGCTGTATCTGTCACCTACTCACTCACAAGTGTAACACTGGATAAAGAGTAATTTAATCAGTGATAGATTTATCACATTGTGGTTTAAAAGTTCATTTAAATGGGAATCAAAGCTGGGGAAACAAAAGCCTACTACTAGAAGCAGTAAAGTAAGAGCTGTATGTGATTAGACGTTTTTATTCCTTAATATCTCTTGACTGGAAGTGAGGAAAGAGTACAAGTGCGAAAATAAAGATGTCAGAAGACTGCTGGAAGGAAACAAGTGTATCCAGGTGTTGTATTTCTGATATCCAAGAACATGAACACCTTGGTTTTCATTTTTGAAACATGAAAGCTTCCCAGCTGAAGGGTGACATTTATTTCTTAACTAGAATTTCATAGCCAAAAGATAATGATGTAGTCTTGGCTTGCCACTTGAAGACAGACCATGAAATTTTATCATCTCCTAAAATTAATTGAGTAACTTAAAACTGAGCTACAACTTGACTGTTTAGACAATGGAAAATTCTATGCTCATTAAAAAACTATTGCTATTGGCTTGTTAATTTTGCTTTTAAACAGTTTACTTTTTTTTTTTTCCAGCTTCCACTTTACGTGGTTTACTTTGGTCTTGCAAAATCCTTAATGTGGCATAAAGGAATCTGGATGCCCTCTTCCAGCATGGACTTCTTTTTAACTTTTGATCTGATTTACAGAACTAATTAAAAAAAAAAAAAAGATTGAGTAGAATAGGGCAAAGTATCTGAAAGCACTTTTCAAAGCTATGTGTGTTTCAAATTAATAAAAGCAACAGAAGTAAAAAAGAAAAAGCATGGATAAATAGTAAATATTATTCATTTATTCTGTGTCATTTTCTATCACCTTAGCTCTTTTGAGACTTAGCTTGCTTTCAGGAATGACAATTTCAAGACACTTTGTAAAATCACAAGTGACAAGCAACACCCAGTCCATTCCTATTTCTATGCCACTGAAGTTTTGTCTTTGAAAGACACTCTGCTGTGTAAGCTGTTTAATTCAGAGACAATAAGGGACACTCAAAAGTGAGGTAAATTTAGTACACTCTCTGTTTTAGAATCAGTTTCCTGCTAATGGGAACCACCTAATAAATGGATGGGCTCTGGTCCACAAAAATGCTATTGAAGGAGGGGGAAAAAGCTAACATTTTTGCATCTGAAAACTGGGACTTTAAAGATTCTGCCAAGACAGTCTAGTTATGATGTTTTGAGGCACTTTCAAAAAATTCTTTGAAATATCCTTGCCAGCTGCCAAGTCTAGTATTGATCTCAAGGTTGCATTGGCTCATGAAGAACCAAGCAGGAATTCTTGAATCATCCATCAGGACATCAGAGACATTGCACTAGGAGACCAAAGACAGAAAAACATCTCTGCCTTTGGAAGGTGACCTACCATTATCCTGTAATACAAACAAGGTGCTTCGAAAATACAGAAATCTGGTGTACCTTCTTAAAGCGAACTCTGACTTTTGAAGGAAGTGGTAAAATGCTGGAAGGTGCTCTTGAATCATTTGAAGTTTAAAAAAATCTTTCTCTGCCTTTCTCTTTGAAAAAGAGAACTGGTTAGTCAAAGTGGCTGAAGTGAAGTCTGAAATAATGTCTGGTAGCTGCATCTCATATAACCTTATGTAATCGACTGAGAAACTGTGGAGGTTTTGTTTAATAATCTTAAGCAGTTACTAAGCTGTCGAAAAAGCTCGTGCTAATATTTTTCATCTTGCCAACACTCCTGAGCCAACTCTAAAAGATGTGTCTTTGATATAAAGAATTAGCATACACCAAATAAACATGAGATCAGTAGAAAGCATCAGTCTCCTTAAAGCAAAGGAGGCTTTGTTTTGCTTTAAATGCACTTACAGTGAGTTTGTCCTTCTCAGAATACCTATGAATTTACTATAGAAACTGTTGAAGAGCATCCTACCCTGAAACAAACAGAAGGTTTTCCCCTACATAAATTAAAAATAGATTAATGCTGCCTACACTCGACCTTCCCATTGGCCAGAGATTTCCCTACTAAGTATGTCTGGAGTGAAAATAAAACCATTTCTTTCCCCCCCACCATGGAATTTTCTATGCTATGGCATACCACCAATTGGGTAAGCAATCTTTATGAAGTCCTTTTAAAAGCCTACCCTTCCAGAAAAGATGTATGATCTTCCAAACTGATATTTCCTTATAATGTTGCTTGATTATATTGGCTGGGTCTCAGAAGAAAGATGTTTAATCAGGTATGTCTTCTACTTACTGTTGGAGGACCACATGATACAAATACCTAATAATAAATACCAGTAACAGAATTTTTGTTTAGGGCAGGGAGGGAAGGGTTGTTCTTGGTTTGTTGATGGGGTTTTTTCTTGTGTTTCTTTTTTCTTTTTCTTTATATTTTTTTTCAAAATCTGACTGCAAAAACCAAGTTGGTATTCCTGAACAGTTTTAAGTTTTTTCCCCATTTTTTAAATTCATTTGGAGAGAGAGCAGCAAGCTTGAGCCCAAAAGTTTGAAATCATTCTTTTAGCTGTGAACACCTGTCCTCGGAGCAAATTTGTCAGCATTGCTGGGTCCAAAATTTTATAGCTAACAGATAAAACATTATAATACTTCTAAACCCTTTCACACAATGACTTAATTGCTCATCTTCTGGAAAACTGTGGAAAAGACCATGGAAACCTTTCAAATTTAGAAAGGATACTGCTTTGATTTTTGAATGAAAGTGTTATTGTTAGAATACAGTAAATTATGGATAATGAATTATGAACTCAAAGAAAAAAGTACACATCAAAGTAAAAATGTTTGTGTTACATCTGTGTTTTAGTACCCTGTGTTTCTCTTCAATGTTGATGGAGACTGTTTATCTTCAAAGAATAAAAACGTTTACTTTTTTCAGATGGTATTGTGTGAAGCTGTTTCAGAACTATTTAGAGTTGAAAAAGCATTAATGCATGAAATACTGAATTAAAAATAAGTTTTAAGATTTAGAAATTATAATTTTAACTATTTATTGTTGGTAATATGGCTATTGCTACTAGTTTCATTTTAAAGAAAGAAAATCTCTTTTTGGCTCTAAAGATAGTATTTTATTTGCATTCCAAGTAAATTTCCTAGAACCAGCACTACATGAAGAGAACAATAAATGCTATCTGTTAGATAAGCTGTAGAAAATCACTCGGTTAATTCTTTGTTCAAGCTTTACTGTCAGAAGTGTTCCCATCGTCTTAACGGGTGAATGTCTATAGCATATATATTATCAGGCAG